TTCAACACGAGCCTGGCCAACATGGTGAAACCCCGTCTCTACTAAAAATATAAAAATTAGCTAGGCGTGGTAGTGGGGGGCCTGTAATCCCAGCTTCTGGAGAGGCTGAGGCAGGAGGTAGAGGTTGCAGTGAGCCAAGCTCATGCCACTGCACTCCAGCCTGGGTAACAAGAGCCAGAGTCCATCTCAAAATCAATCAATCAATCAATCAATAGCAAATACTTATGTAATACAATATGATAGACATTATTTAAGTGCTTTACCTATATTAGCTTGTTTAAGCCTCATGTCAATAGGTACTATTATTATACCCACTTACAGATGAGAAAATTGAAGCATAGAGAAATTCCCTAAATTTCCATGAAAGATAGTAGCTGGTTTTAAGAGAAACAAGCCTATAAACAAAAAAAGAAATAAACAAAGATTTTGTGTTCAAATTAGTTTTGGAAATCCTGGGTTGAGCGGAGCTAAACAAGTTTCATTGCTGCAGGATTTCTCAGAGTCATTAAACAAACATTGTGACAATGTGAACTGCCCTGATTCTCTAGCTACAGAGGCTTTTGGTGGCCAAGCATCTTGTGGGACTAGTGATCTGTGAAACATACCTTGAGAAGCACTGCTGGAGGGTTATATAAGGTGACAGAGAAAAACCTGTTATCAATTAACGCTTGTGTGCCTCCTTCTTTTCCTCTCCTCTCCCCATCCGGAAATAGGTCATAAGGTCTATGGTCTTGCCTAAGGGCAGGCGGTGAACAAATAAACTATCTAAGACAGTAGTTAATTTTCTTTCTCTTGTCTCTCCTCCTGATTTATAGATATTTTGGTTACACATTAAAAATACATACTCTATAATTTTTTTACTGGTATTAAGTATAGTTCTTAAACTGTAATATAAAGGTTTTGATGTTACAGTTAGAAAACTTCAGCAACTTTCTTTATCCAGTTGAGAAATGTACATTAGAGCTGTATCAACCTTCAAATGAGCTTCTAGGTGTTTTTAAAGACAGCAAGCAGGATATAAACAGGGTTAGTAACAGACTTGGGTCTGCACCAACTATCTCTGACGCCTCACTATTTGCCTCAGTTTCTTTATCTGCATATTGAAGGCATTTGAATATTAATCTCTCAAGTACCATCTAATTTTAAAATTCAAAAACATGCAAATTGCTCTTCCAGATTCACTGAAGCATAGAACAGAAAAATATTAATTAAATATCTAAACTACATTGGTGAGATTTTTTTCCCCATTATTATAAAGAAACTTCTGCCAATGAAATTAAATATAAATAGTAGGTTGTGGAAAGTATCATCAAGTGAAGTGAAGAAATGGGGGAAGGAATAAAATTTTTACTGCTTCCTTGGTATAGACAATTTTTTTCGGCTAAAGCAATGGCAGATTCTTATATTCTGGTGCACAGGAACTATATGAATAAAACATGCCTGTGCAAATGAACTCAGAACCTTATTCCAAAGCACCATTCGGGAATAATACATTTAATGTCTCATCAACTTCCCCAGAAAAGTGAGAGTAAACCTGTGCATACAGACAAAACAACCATAACAAAAACCAAGGTAGAAATAAATCTGCTATGGGGAACAGATTTGATCGACATTTGAAGGTTTCAAAACTCTAAGTAATACGCTAGTCACTTAAAAATATTCCCACATTTCTGCTTTCTCCCATCACTCTATGCCTTAAGATTCATCTGTCAATTTTGACGCATCTTTTAAGTACCCCTTCAAGCCTAAAACTCCAGACCACAGAAAAGCCCTCTTTGCTTTGAAACTATCTGATCAATCCATAGATCATTTACCTGCAAGGATTATTTGGTGAAGCTAAAGCAGCACATCAACCAGCAGCATCTGAGGGCTGAGGCGGCAGAACGTCAACAACAAATTGTCATTGGCATTCCATTTATGAACCTTCAAACGGCATCAGATCTTTTCCATGGGAAACCAGATCAGGTCAGACTAGAGCTGAATATTTCTTAACAAGCTAACCATCAAAAGAATTTACGTTTTGAATAAAAAGCCTATCATTTGTTGATTTGAATATCAAAGGGATCCACTGCAAACTCCCAGTCTAGAAAAACCTCCCTAAGCTACACTAGACAGGTGTTTAATAATCTATTATTAAGGCACTATTTTAGGTTACTCAGAATTATAAAAAATAGCTGTAACTGTGAAGCTGCAAATGGGACTGCACAAAGAAATGAATGCTATTAACATACTATTAACAATTCAAAAGAATGAGTTGACATACCAATCAAACTTGTTAATTGACTGTCAATGGCCTGTCCCTGAATATACAACATGACTGCATTATAGATTTCAAATGCTGACAGGAAGACAGTTCCATTTGCATTAACTTCATAAACTGATCAACAACCAAACTGCCACATACATTTATAATGGGAAGCTGAATCATTTCAATATTCATGGAGCTCTGTAATTGTAAATTAGGTACTGGCAAACAATACAATACTGTACATACTCTAAAATATCTGAAATTTCATTGACCTACTTTCATTCTGGTTTTAAAATACAAAAAAAAAGTTTCATCTTGAAGTGATCATTACTTTAATTTGTGGTTTGTGCCTTAAGCAAAATTTGTTTGCACCCCAATTTGCAACTATGGTTTACAGTTGCACTTTGGAAGCATCACTGGTCCAGAAAATATGAGGTAAAAAAGGTAGTGGATGTTAAAAGGTAAAAAAGTGAGCTTGCCTTACTTGGGGTTTTTGAAAACAGAGAAATATGAAACAAGGCAGTATCGCACTTCCTCAGGTGACATCCGAAGATCCATTATGACAACATATTTAGCAAATAATCATTAACATAATGAAAAGAAGGTTATAAAGTAATCCTGCACTGGAGCCTCCTTAAATCCCCTCAAATAGACCTGCTGTTCTGAAATTAGGCTTTAAAATCTTCAATCATCCATTGGTTTGAGAATCAATAGAGTAAAAGAGAAGATAAATGAGGGTTGAAGACTATTTCTAACCAAAGGCTCATGATAAATGGTCTGAAATTCAATAGTTACCAGCATGGAGATATTCCATTCAAATGGTTCTATGACTTCTTCAAGAATGAACACAGAGGGTTTTTTCTTTTCTTCAAAAAGCTGTTTCCTCCCAGAGTTAAATGTTACTTTAGTTTCAATGTTTTTCTTTGATCATTACCTAGGCATCACCCCTCCAGCCACTAGAAGTTGCTCAAACTTTGTGTATTAATTCTGGAATATTCTAACGTGTTGCCACAATTTTGGATGCACCAGTTTACTCATAGCGCCTTTAGTGAAGCTGGTCTTGAAATTTTTTTTGACTTTGCAAATTACTGCATACTGTTAAATAACAAAATGAGGTTATTTGTTGGAAGGGAGCAGTTACTCCTAAATAATGAATATGATCCTTAGAAGATTATTTATTCTATCTATTAAGATTGTTTTTTTTTCTTTCATCTTTGTCCAACTAAGCAGTGATATATACTCCATAATAGTAACACACACATAATATATGCACACATATGCACGATTTATGCATATATAAAATTGACTTATAATTATAAAAAAAGTACAGTATATAATACACATATTTGTTTGAATATATATACACACCTATATAACATATATATCTTTAATAAACTTAATTTTAGATTTACAGAAAAGTTGCAAGGATAGTACAAAGTTCCTGTATAACCTGAATCCAGTTTCTCTAATTGTTAATATCTTATATTAGTATGGTATATTTGTCATAACTAGTGAGCCAATATTTACAAATTTTACTATTAGCTAAAGCACATATTTAATTCAGATTTCCTTCATTTTTTACTTAATGCTCTTTCACTGTTGCAAGATCCTGGCCAGTTACCATATTATTTATAGTCATATGCCTCCTTAGGCTCCTTTGATGGTGACTGTTTCTGAGTTTCCTGGTTTTGAGGACCTTGACAGTTTTGTAGTACTAGTCAGATACTTTCTAGATTGTTCTTTGATTTGGGTTTTCTAATGTTTTTCTCCTGGTTAAACCACAGTTACAGATTTTTGGAAGGAAGACCACAAAGTGCCATCCACATAAGTGATATATTTTTATCTCTGAATGTTCTCAACGTATTCAATGTACTAAAATATAATATTTTTTTCTGTTTAGAAATAAAGGGCAAGTTATGTAAATCATCAGCAACAATCTGCAAAAGAGGCTGTGTGTATATAATGGAAAGTGCTTCATTGCTAATTAGCAGTGTAGTAGATGTCAAGATCTGTGTTCACTCTGGGATTTAGCCATGTCTGGGCATGTCCACAGGACTGTAGGGTGGGTCCACGAGGGATCCATTTACAAGAGATGAGGTCAAGAGCCAGGAGATGGAAATGGAAGAACACACATCCTGACCTAAAGGGAAAGAGTGATGTTTACTAGTTTAGTTCAGGGTCAATGAGCAAGCATATCTGGTATGTGTGTAAGTGTGTGCATAGGAGGAATATTGGGGTTTGTAATGGTTTTGACTTTATCACTCCTGAATTTTAGGGCAAGAAATATGCAAAGAGAACATAAGGAAGACTAAAAAGAGTCTGTTGGTAAACATTAGATGCACTGATGACAGCTATTTGAGGACTGATAAGAATGGGGTGATTTGATAGTAACAGGGGAGTGCTGGTGACTGGGAAAAGAATGGTACCATTAGCACAAAATATAGTGCCATCAATACTGGGCATTATAAGTGTCAGTAGTGACATGGGCAGGCATCACCATGAAAAGATGACATTAGCATAGCATACCAGGAAAGGAGGAGAAAAATAGTAGAAGCTCCATAAATAGGCAAGGGTACTAGTTTTTTGTGTTTATGTAAGTTACTTCTTAGGAACATGAAACATCTTTGGGAAAAATTTATGGGGCTGGAGTGTTCTTAGGGAGGGTAAAAAGTCTAGTTAGAGAAATACGACATCTGGCAGTTGCTTACCTATAGGCTTGAACACAGGTTAGAGACAAAAGGAAGTCACTTACATTCTCTGAGTTTCCATACTCATGATTGAGAGATCCGCACTTCTTCAAAAGGTTGTTGATTGGAGTGACAGCAATGCTATTCAAAAAGCATAAAATTAAAAAATAATAATATGTTGTTGAGGGATTTGGTAGAGGTGGTAGTGACTTGGAAAGTATAACAACTTCTTAAGTAGAGTTGAAGGGTTATATGTAACTCAGATTCAAGAAATGGGGATTTTTTTGTAGAGGTACAAGGTGCTGTAGGAGATAAAATCTTAGAAATGCCTCATGAGTACTGGAACTAAAGTCTTATTCCGGATTGAAGGCAATTAAAAGAACCTCAGCAGCAGTGGTTCAAGAATTCCATGCTAGCACTCAAACAATATTATTTTCTTGGTCTCAGCTTTGTGTGTGTGTGTGTGTGTGTGTGTGTGTGCATTTTCTTACTTCTTTTATCATTACAATGCATAGTAAGTAATTCAGCAGGAAAACTTTACCTTGATTGAGTGGTGGTACTCTTAAACAATTTGAATAGTATTATCCTCAGAACATAAATGTAAGCAATGAAGGGACTTTATCAGTGGCTACTTAATCCACCATTCCATACAACTTCTCTACCTGTTTGAGTCTGGTTTCTCACGGATTTAGCTTTCTTGTGGAACATCATGGTCCTTCTTATTTATGACATCTTCTATCCACTCTTTTTACCATAGCAGCCCAATAATGGACCAACTCTTATTTTTTTGGGCAAGGTGTTATTCTCGTTTTTAGTCTGCGCCAAGACACTTGATAAAGCCATGGAATTATTAATGAAAAGATTGTCCTTTGGCCTTACTCGGGCAAAAGACCACTAATCGTGTGAGAGGTAGGGGTGGGGTCATATTACAGCACAAGGAATAGCCTAGAATTGTTTTTCACTAAAAGGAGAAGGATGGGACAGTTTCTCTTAGAAGAGAAAAAATGAACATGCAAGCCTCCAGGATAGTCAAAAGTAATGTAAGACATGAAAAGAGGACACTTTCACTGTGACATTAGTCGGCTTACAAATTCTAAACCAATGCTTTAAAATTTGCTCCTCAGAAAATCATAGAATTTTGGAGTTGGAAAGGATATTAGAAATAATCTCATCTAAATCTTTCATAAGTGAGGGAACTAAAGTCTGGGTTAAATACTAGCTATAGGTTAGAAAGCTCTTTAGCAACAGAGTTAGGCTTAGAGCTTAATGTCCTTTCTTCCATAAGCTGTCTCAGCAAGCTTAGGGATGAGTTAAGGTAGCAATAAACCTTTATCAAAGTAGAAACTCAATTTTCTTTGAAACATGTTCACTTTTTTTTGGCCAATACTTGAACATTTATCCTTTATAAAGTTTCCTAAGGACTCCATTGTTTTCACTAGTTGAAAACATGCTTTCTTTCATTTCCTCAATCCTTTCCCCTTCCCTTACATATTTACTCTACTGCCCCTAGAACTCCATATGTGCCTTCTCCTTAAGATTCCTACTATGGGCTGGGTGTGGTGGCTCACACCTGTAATCCCAGCACTTTGGGTGGCCAAGGTGGGCGGATCATGAGGTCAGGAGTTCGAGACCAGCCTGGCCAACCTGGTGAAACTGCATCTCTACTAAAAATACAAAAATTAGCTGGATGTGGTGGCAGGCACATGTAATCCCAGCTACTTGGGAGGCTGAGCAGAGAACTGCTTGAACCCAGAAGGTGAAGGTTGCAGTGGGCTGAGATCGTGCCACTGGACTCCAGCCTGGGGGACAGAGCAAGACTCTATCTCAAAAAAACAAAAAACAAAAAACAAACAAACAAAAAAACCAAAAAATAAAACCCAAAAAAGATTCCTACTATGTGATCATCCCTTCCTTGCTTTCCCTTCTCGAATTTTATTAAGGGTGTTCTAATCATATATCTGGAAAGGCAAGCATAAGCCAACACTTCTTACCACACTTTTCTTGAAACCTTGTGGGGTAACTTAAAGAAGAGAAGAAATGGCTTAATTATGAATTATTCAAAGTAGAGATTTTGCTATAAGTATGTCTATGCAAGTACACTATACTTCCTACTGGGAGCAGCTGTTCTAACGCAAACCTAATCATATAAAAAAGTATACATGCCTATTATTACTAACAGTATTCATTGTAAGTAATATAAAATAGATAATAAGATTTCAATTATAAAGCACAGCTTCACAGCATCAGCTTCTGGAACATGTTCTACATCTCCTTTTTATATTTGAAATAGTGATGATACTGACAATTTCAAACAAGTTAACTGAGATATAGAAATATGTGATGTTGCAACGTTTACTACACAGAATGCAGTGAAGGACCTTGAAGTAAGCTCCTCCCCACCTTCGTCTCCAAAATAAAGCCACTGAGCAGCCAATATAAGTCCTAAAACAACTGCATGCTTGAGCTCTCATACAATCTTAGTTTCTCAGTTGCTTCCTGCAAACTTATTTTACTTTAGTTATGGTCACACAAAGCTTCTTGTCTGGATTTTCTGCCTGTAATATGTTGAACATGACAAATTGGAAAGAAGCAGAGAGGGAGTCACTAGACTCAGCTCATAAATGATACCAAGAAGTGAAAACAAGTCAAATGGTAGCCAGGGAGGAGACATAAGACCTACATAAAGCAAGTACAAATGCTCAGAAATCCAAGCTGGAAAAAATAGTCCAATTAACCCCAATAATCTTTGGGAGAATTACTATTTTAGAGTAAATAATCATTGTTCATGCCACCACGCATCTTTAAGAACAAATACAATCTTCAGAAGATTCTCTTTCTTTTTTGAGACGGAGTCTTGCTCTGTCGCCCAGGCTGGAATGCAGTGGTGCAATCTCGGCTCACTGCAACCTCCGCCTCCTGGGTTCAAGCAATTCTCTGCCTCAGGCTCCCAAGTAGCTGGGATTACAGGCACCCGCCACCATGCCCGGCTAATTTTTGTATTTTTAGTAGAGACAGGGTTTCATCATGTTGGCCAGGCTGGTCTTGAACTCCTGACCTCGTGATCCACCCACCTCAGCCTCCCAGTGCTGGGATTACAGGCGTGAGCCACCATGCCTGGCTAGGAGATTCTTTTTAAAATCCAGGATAAAGTGAAATATATTTTGGAAGAATTTTATTTAAAATATTTACATAATATTAAATTAAACAATTTATTATTTAATAATAAATTAAGTAATCTGAAGACTTCATTTATAAAAAAATGTTTTTTCCTGTAAATTTGGGATAAATGAAGTGATTTTATGCAGTGATTCCACAACTCACTTCAGCTCTATTAAAAATTCAGACATAAATTTTCATTTATTTTAGCTACTTCTTTTTTTTATACCTCCTTCCCTATCTCAAGGGGAAAGTTCCTTCACAATTGTGTTATCTTCTGGTCTTATTTTTTAGCCTCTGACCTCAGGCAATCCATTTCAGAAAGCCTCTCAATTCCTTCAAAGTATCCTTTTCTTTGTTTCCAGATGTACTGGGCCTAAGGACATCAATATGATCTGTCTAGGATTCTGGAAAAATTGTCACTTAGTGATATTCATTAATTTTTCTTGAAGAACTCTAAGTCTTTCCATTTATTTTATATATTCTTCATCACATTTTAACACCTACACATTCTTATAGTTATTCATGTCTTGACTATTGATTTACAAAAGGAAATTCCCGGAAGTCAAAATACACTATCTATTATATCAGTTCTTGTTGGAATTTATTTCTGCATACCTCAGTCCTTCTTGCCCCATTTCCTTCCCGCATGATTAACTTTTTTCTTTAATGAGATGCCCCAAATACATTCCTTATGCAGTTTTGCCAGCCTTTTATAGAGAGAGTTGATCCTTCCTGATGCAGTACAGCAATACAGCGTGCCTCTGAGCACAGTGCCATAATCACACCACTTTCTTTGCTGTCATGCAGAACTGGAAACATTCAGCTGATCTGAAATCCAGTATTACCTAGAGGTCTTTGTTAGCGTTAAGGGTTTTTGTTTCTGTTATTGTTACTTTCTTCTTCCTTCTCTCTAAGATCTTTTTTCTGTGTTTTTTAGTTCAGGTTGAATTTAACTCTTGACTTCTCAAAATTATTTGGCATAAACTTTACATATATGGTAGAAGTACTTAGGTTAACCAATGTTGATGTCTCATGATGAAGTAGGAATACAAATCTATAAAGTCAGTTTAAAAAAAAAGGCTGAACATGGTGTCTTATGCCTATAATCCCAACACTTTGGGAGGCAGAAGCAGGATGATCGCTTGAGCCCAGGAGTTTGAGACCAGCCTGGGCAATATAGCGGGACCTCGTCTCTACCAAAAATTAAAAAGTTATTTGGGTGTGGTGGCGTACGCCTGTAGTCTCAGCTACCTGAGAGGCCAAGGTGGAAGGATGGCTTGAGCCCAGGAGGTCGAGGCTTCAGTAAGCCCTGATCTCACCACTGCACTCCAGCCTGGGCAACAGAGCAAGATCCTCTCTTAAAAAAAAAAATGAAACTCTTCCTATGAATTACAAAAAAGAATGGAAATTTTAAGTTAGCGGGGTCCAAAACATAGATTAAAATAGTTTCACCTGAAGCTACAGTCGTAAACAGAAGTTACTGTATGATGAAATATAGCATCTATATTTCAAAGGTGACAGGGGTGAAGACATACAAAAAAGGGTCCTCATGACAACTACTGTGTATGGCCCCTGTACTTTTCTCTGTGTTTACTACTCTGTGCAATACAACCAATGAATGTGTTAGAGAGACTACTCATAACTCACGATTCTATGAGTCTATTAGTTTATTTACAGTTATACTTTTTTCTCTATTTCATTAAGGATTTAAATTATATTTATTACATGGTGGCCTCCAGAGCCATTCCAGATTTCCTATTTAAAAAGTGATATCACAATTTTTCATGAAATCTCCAAAGAGCTTAAAAAATAAGATAAACACAATTCATAAAAATTTCTAATTAATTCTAATAATGACTCAGAATACATTTAATTCATACTTACTAATTTGCCATAAGTATTTAAAAAATGTTTTCTATGTGATTTAAAAAAAAAGATATCTTAATGAATAGCCATTTAGGTAAGATCTTCTTTAGTTCCCA